TGTCCAGAAGAGCGCAGTCCTAGGAACAGCTAAGATACTGCGCAGAACCCTCAAACTCCCAGGCCTCTGGTAGAGGACCCGAGCTTGAGGATGACACATATTGTACCACCCCACGAGGGGTGAGAAAACAGTTTTTATATATATAACACTAATACTCCTTAACACTAATACAAATCAATGAATACAACTGCACAAATCTGCTGCTATGAGTCAAAAATTCAACTTTACAAGTTATGCCTTCATTTTTACTTTTGACACAAATGTCACACCAGTAAAAATGATCTGTGACTTGTGGGTAGTACCCTTGATCAGACAGCAGGGTGTGCTACTTCTCGGTCAGTCTGTACCAACCGGAAATACATATATGGCCTAGAGCTTGCTCAAGAATGGCAGCAGGCAGGTGTGAGTGCATCTGCATGCACTGTGAGGCGTAGACTCTTGGAGCAAGGCCTGGCCTCAAGGAGGGCAGCAGAGAAGCCACTTCTCTCCAGGAAAAACATCAGGGACAGACTGATATTCTGCAAAAGGTACAGGGAGTGGACTGCTGAGGACTGGGGTAAAGTCATTTCATCTGATGAATCCCCTTTCCAATTGTTTAGCATATCTGGAAAACAGTTTGTTCGGAGAAGACGAGGTGAGCGCTACCACCAGCCTTGTCTCATGCCAACTGTAAAGCATCCTGAAACCATTCATGTGTGGGGTCGCTTCTCAGCCAAGGGAGTCGGCTCTCTCACAGTCTGACCTAAAAACACAGCCATGAATAAAGAATGGTACCACAATGTCCTCCGAGAGCAACTTCTCCCACTCATCCAAGAGCAGTTTGGTGATGAACAATGCCTTTTCCAGCATGATGGAGCACCTTGCCATAAAGCAAAGGTGATATCTAACTGGCTCAGGGAACAAAACATAGAGATTTTGGGTCCATGGCCTGGAAACTCCCCTGATCTTAATCCCATTGAAAACTTGAGGTCAATCATCAAGAGACGGGTGGAGAAACGAAAACCTAGGAATTCTGACAAAATGCAAGCATTGATTGTGCAAGAATGGACTGCTATTAGTCAGGATTTGGTCCAGAAGTTGATTGAGAGCATGCCAGGGAGAATTGCAAAGGTTCTGAAGAAGAGGGGTCAACACTGCAAATATTGACTTGCAGCGTTAACTCATTCTGTCATTAAAAGCTTTTGTTACTCATAATATAATTGCAATTGTATATCTGTATGTGATGACAACATCTGACATGCACACATGAAAACCAGAGGGCACCACATCATGTGAAAATATAATATTTCTGTCATTCTCAATACTTTTGGCCATGACTGTACATTTAACTACATGGTAATAAGTGGTTGTAGTTTGACTAAATGAAAAAAAATTTAAAGAGGCTGAAGATCTTTCAGAGGCACTGTAGTTTTATGGATTTTAAATTTTGTAGATCTACGTAGACGTTTTTGTATTTTCACTTTGATTTGAAAAAACAATTTGAGATATTTGAATGAAAATCCATTTAAAATGTCAGCTTGTCTCACTGTTTATTTAGGTCCTGGTTCAGCATTATTTACATGAGTAATGATGCAAAGCACATCTTCAAAAAAGAAAGGGATCTGTCAAGTTATGTAAACTCTGCTGTGCATTTCTATGAAAGAGACTAGAAAGAGACGTCATTGTTTGCATATGGATGGCAAATTTAAATATTTTTTTATGTGAGGAAATGTGTTCTTTAAACCAAACACAAGGAAGAGGAATGTTTCAAAAAAGTTTAATGCAGAAATTCCAGGATAAGAGATAAAGGTGGGCTCGACCTTGTGTATGGAGTGCATCCTGGGCCATCTTACGACACACCTCAGTTTCATGAAAGAAGTAACACATAAGTTACCACAGATATTTATTCTGTGCAGGTAGATTGCGCCCAACAGTCCAACTACCAGGCTTACTTAAATCTGGGTGTAATATCTGATCAGTCTGCAGTGACACTGATCAGTAATCAATAAGTTCTTCATTGCCTTCTTCTTTTTCTTGGAATCATTGTCGGGTGGCGGCAAAGGTTCGGAGACATTACTGCCATCTACTGTGATTGGACTTTGGGGCAGAGTATCTGAACAACCACATTCATATTCTTGTAAATTACCCTGTTCCCCATCCTAACCAGATGGCGACCCACCTCAACTGGCTCCTTTCGATGTGGGGGAGCAGCAGCTCTACTTTGAGTCTGAGCTCCTCACCCTATCACTAAGGGAGAGCCCAGACACACTACGGAGGAAACTGCGTCCTGATTTGCATCATCCTTTAAAAACTTATACAGATGGAAAAGAAGCAGAGGTGAAGACAGAGAGAAAGCAGAAGGACAATTATTTCTGTCTTCACACTCAAGAGACTAGAGGCTCTAGGTAAGTTTAAACTTAAATTGAACTTAATTTGCAGAGACTGTAGTTTTTTTAAATAAATAAAAAAGTGTAATTTAGATAAATACTTACATTTTGCTCAAAGTATTTTCTTTTTGGTGGCTTTTTTTCACAATGCTACTGAAACAGTACTTGCATTTAGGTTTCTAATTATATCTAAAAGAAATCCCTTGAACAGGTTAGATAAAGATTTCAAAGACAAAAAAAAAAAATCTTTTTTCTTTTTATCTTATAAATGTATGTACAATAAATTCCTGTTGGGTCAAAACGAGATTAACTAAACATCTAATCTTAAAAAATGTGAACAACAAATTGTTAATACATGCAAAGCTATAATTTGTAAAAAGACATTTTTACCAGAATTGTGGAATAATTTTGACATAATTTTGTTCTTCTGTATAGATTTCCTAACCGGTTCACTTAAGAGGATATTATTTCAGCTGACTTCAGACACACTAAGTCATTTATACTAAATGACACAAGTCATTTCATGTCCAAAAAGTTTTAGTCTATTTTTAGTCTGATTTTGATTTTTTAAAGTATATTCTCTGTCTGTATGTAACTTACACCTCCTAAAATGTCAGCAAGTGGACGTGCTAAAGGTAGCGCAGTGTTTCTTGACGCTGCCGACCCGGGTTCGAATGCAGCCTGTGGTCCATTGCCACATGTCTCTCTCCCTGTCTTATACCCCCTTTCCTGTCAGCCTACTTTCCAGTAACCAACCACTAGTGCCAAAAAAACCCTAAACAAAATGTCAACAAGTGAATACAAAGCAATTGTTTATAAATTGTTTTAAAAAACAAATACACAAGCATATTTATTATGCATCTCTTGATGTGTTTCAGTTTAGTTTTTAGAGCGTGAATTCAGTCTCAAGGCGTTTTACAGAGACAATTCAATCAGATCATACAGTCAGATTGCTTCAAATTTAAGGAAAACCAACTGATTGCATCATGTCCGTGACTCAACAGCAATCCCTCACACCGAGAATACATGCAGTGATAATGGAGATATTTCATTTTCTTTTGAATTGATGATATTTAATGTATCTCCTCAGGACCTTGTTTTAGGTTTATTAAGTTGAATTATTAACATACTGAGTGAGAAACATACTTCCATTGCTTGACTTGTCAGACAGACAGTTCCCCAGTCTGAATATCCTCGATCTTTGCTTTCAGAATATTAGATTTAAAAAAAATAAGAACTTCAATATTTATTGATTAGTGGCATTTCCAATTTTGAGTATTAAGGCAACCAAACAGATCTGTCTCAGAACATCACTTTGAATAACTTAGAATAATAATAATAATAATTTATGACTCATAACTAATCTTTGTGTCTGTAGGAAACTGAAGTAAGAATGGATGAGCTGTTTTTTGTGATCCTCCTCTCTACAGGTAAGATCCATATTCTGTCATGACCGATTAGTTATACTCATAAATCAACAACATTTTCCAGCTATTTTGCCTAAAATTAAACACTTTTGGTTGCTAATAATTTAGAATATGACTAAAAACCTGATTCAATTCAAAGGTTTGACTTCATTACACTAATAACTACACACTGCGATACATTTCAAACAATAATTTCTAACGTTATGGCAGCTGATGGTAAACAAAAATTCAGTTTCTTAAGAATATAATAGTCAAAAAACAGTTTTCAATAAGTAATTGTTGATGAGCTGCGGCTGGTTTTGCACAAATTGTTGCATCTGCGCAGCGTGGGATGGAGGTGTGTGGCCTGTGGCTCTGCTGAGGTGTTAAAGGGGTCATAGAATGATTATATAGGGTATTTGGTGCTGGTCATGTAAAGCACTTTGCATTGTCTTTGTACTGAATTATGCTATACAAATAAATTTGCCTGCCTTGCCTTGCCATTTGCCTTGGTCCTTGAGGTCTCTGAATAGGGTAACATTGGTTGCGCTGAAAATGGCCTATTTGCTGTTCTATGGGCCCTAATTAAAGCCTGATTAAAAACCCTAGAATTAAACGATGGGTTTTCTTCCTGTTATGGTATGTTCATGAATATTTAGATGAGCTGTGCGCTGATTAGTTGGTTAACAGTGAGCGAAGCTGCTGAGCAAAGACGCATCATAGAAACAAGCACCCACTCAACATCTAATGTCCTACTTTTGGTTTATTTTTCTGACTAATCCAATCAGCGCGCTCTCTGACAAACAGTCGCCGGGAACGCACGTTGAAGAGAGCATCGCTTTGGACAGATATGCACAGGTTTCACCAGAACCTGCTTCCCACACCCGTTCTCTCTTATTGTGTCTGCGCAATCGAAGTAGTTCTAATCCGCACATGGTGCACGAATTATTGTATTGCCTGCACGCTCTCACTCACATTAAAAAAACATTACCTTGTATAGTCTAAAGTGCAGGATTATTTATCCGACTCGCGGGCATCCGTGAACAACTATCAATATCAAGGAGACTCCTGGAAGACTTGGGATGTCTGTTACCGACCCCCCTCCTCCAGCTGAGGATGGACGGCTCATGGCTCTTAGTCGACCCCCCCCAACCACCCACCTACCCTCCCTTGGGCCAGTGAACCACAGGGCTGCATGTCAATTTTGGGGCTTGAAAAAAGTACAGGTCAGAACCAAATATGGCAACATCCCCGAATTGACATTAATTCGGTGCTTCTTCTGGATTCGCCCGTTTTATGGTGGAAGTTTAGAATTGTGAGATTTGCAGAGAAAGGAGGTGTTGGTGGGGTTAGAACTTCTCTGTATGTCCATTTCTCCCACTGAACTATTGTTATTCATTTATTACGATATAAACTCTGTTTTGCATTCTATGACCCCTTTAAACATCAGGCTTTTCAGCACTGTCAAACACATTAGATTAGATTAGATTAGATTAGATTAGATTAGATTAGATGAGCTTTATTGATCTCAAAGCGGAGAAATTCACTGGTCACATATTGGCATAGAAGTTAAAGAAGGTGCAAACAAGGAGGAAAAAGGTGCATTAAGAATAAACAATATATATACAGTATATCAAGATAAATAAGGATTAAGGTGCAAGTGTACATTTATCGCACACAATGAAAAACTAAGAAATAAAAATAAGAAATAAAAATATGTACAATCCGGATGGCTTATATACAGGTGAATTTACTTAAAGTGTAGTAGGTAAGGAACAACGGTGAGCTATATCGGTAAAAAAAAAAAGCTTTTGGTACTTTTACAGATAAAGCTTGAAAACAGAGGAAGGTATGATGTGCTCTAGAATATAATAGTAGATGGCTGTGTTCTAGGACTGTGGTCCATAAGCAGATAATAGGGCACCCATAATTCATTACTCACTGTGGACATTTCTCTTTGGACTCGAGCAACATGGTTAATTTGCGTATCCACTCTTCTTCCAGACTGTGGGACCTTGTCAAAATGAAATGCAAAACATACTTTAATCTGAAAAGAGGATCACTGAGTAACAGTCAAATTTCTTTAATGAGCCGCAGTACTGTCAGATGCAAGTGGTGTCATTGTTTAAGTTGTGGTTTAACGCAGAAGGATTAGGTTGTAACCCAAGCCCTCAGTAGGTCTGTATGTGGCACCGGTTAAAGTTCTGACTCCAGGTGTACGCCTTACAATTCTTCTCAGCCAGTTTCTGAAGGGGCTTCACAACCCTCTGAAGGCTGTAGTTACACGTTATTTGTTAATTTGGTTTTTCAACAACACCATTTTCCTTTCACACAAATTTCAACTGCTATATCTGGAAGGCAATGCCCCATGGCTAACCTACCAGATGGAGGGCATTTCTTACCATAAAGTCAGCAGTCATCCTTATTACTTCATGACATTTTTGAGTGAATGAATATATATTATAAATTGTTATATGTAGTCTAAGAGAAACTGAATTTTTGTTTTCCATTCATTTGAGGCCACTCTAATCAAAGTTACTGAAATCAATATTTTTTTTATTGTAATGGTATTTTGGCTTGGTGATATGCAGCTGTAGACTTGGGTGAAAGATTTAACCATGAATTGTTGTTGATTGTCTCTCTGATGACCATCGTCATGTTCTGTAACCAACTTGATATTGCTTTTCTTCTTTTTAATTTCAGTTAAACCTCTATTTAGGCTCATTAGTGCAGTTCTTAATATGTTTTCAGAGTAACACTGTAAATAGAAAACCAGTTGATTTTCAGCAGAATCAGTTATAATTCTCTAAAAAGAAACAAGTTCAAGCCTGAAATTAATTCATCGTGTATATTTAAAAAAAGTCTACTTCTATTCTCAGGTTTTTGTGCCACCACTTCATATATGTTTTTTAACTATCCAATGACCTGGCATGATGCAAAAAGTTACTGCTTTGATGGTAGAACTACGCTGGTTCAAACAGATGATGTGTTCCACTCAAACTGGAAAAATTCAGAATACTCCAAGGCCTGGATAGGACTGATTACCAACACCTCTGTATGGCACCACATAAGCAACGAAACGGCTCAATATTTCAACTGGAGCTCCGGTCAGCCAGACAACCTCCTCAGTGAACTGTGTGTGTCTATGACTGAAGTTGGAGATTGGTATAATTGCAACTGTTCTGAACTTAAACCGTCTATTTGCTATGACGGTAGGTTAAAAAAAAAAACTGGGTTAAAAATTTGGAATGCATTGAAATGAAGGTTATTTCATGTCAGTTGTTCTTAATCAATTCTTATCTATTTAATTAATTATCTAAATAGTGCTTAACAAAAATCACTGTGAATAAAACAAAACTCCCGTTCTCTCCCTTAAAAAAGGTTTTCTCCTTTAAAATTACCTTTTTTAATTAATAAAAGAGTTTTCTTATCTTAATATCTCTCACCATAAAAATAAGCAAGAGCTATATGGTAAACATGGTATGTTAGTATAATTCAGCCTATATTTGATTTACTTTGGTCTAATGTAAAATGTTAAAAACAAAATCCTTAGAAAGCAGAGGTCTGTAATTAACATTTCATTTTTCCAAGCAAAACAATGCTCAAAAAGTTTATTGTCTTCCAATTCTTTGACATTTACATCCACAAGTTGGCATTTCTTATATATATTCTCATCATCTACCATTTTATTTAAACCACTCATTCTCTGGTGTGGAAGATTATACAACATTGTTGCATAGTTACAAAGAAAACATAACAGGAATAGTTTGTGAATTTGATTTTATAGTGAATTACTATATATATATATATATATATATATATATCACTCTCATTAAAAAATAAATTAAGGCAATGTTCACACTGCAAACAAATTTTGCCCAAATCCAATTTTTTTGGCCTTGAAGGGCCTCAGGTGATATTCTTAGT